TTGGCATTGTTTTAATGGCAGTGGGCGATGATAGAGATTGAAATACAATCGGAAGAAGGGGGATGAAAATCAAACTTTCAATTATTTCAAAAGAAAAACTATCAGGAGCACAAAAAATTAACATCGATACTGCTCATCTATCAATTTCCGCTCGTTAATTTTAATTTTTTTTTTTGGTGGGCTTTAAATTAACTTAACAGCTGTCTAAAGCTAGGAGATCACCCAGCGTCACAAGAACGATTGAGTTAGGTCTCACGAAATCCTCACGATTTGGGCTTTTGAAATGAATAAAAAGCCTGGGTGGGTATCTACACCATCACATCAGCGGGGAAATGTTTTTTTAGAAGGACCACATTGATGTAATTCAAGTATTGATCTATTAAACACAGCCATCTGCTACGTTTTCCCAAACAAAAGAAAAGTTGATTAATTTTTTCATTTTGTCCGAGCCAGCAGAACTCACATGACAGGGAAAAGTAACAGTTTGTACTCCCCACACGTCGAAGCTTGTGTTTGTCAGACATTATGCTGAGTAAACCTTTCATTTCCTATTCTTTTAATGTCATAGTGTTTGACCGCTTAATTTGTTTATCGAGTTCCTTAGCTGCTCTCCAGCAACAGACATCTTATTACTAAGTTATTAAGAAAAAAATGAAACTGATCAGCCCCCTCCCTCCCTCCCTCCCTCCTTACAAAAAATGAACACAGAAATCGCTGGTCAAGTCGTCTCCGGTGAAGAGTGCATCATGTCAATGTCACTTAATAAGAGGGATGACCGACAACCCGCAACGTGCCCCCCCCGCCCCCCCCCCCAACCACCCACTTACTCTCGACGGTTGCCCCTACAACAGGTGACCCGGGAGATGATGTAGACCCAGGGGTCCAGTAGCTGGTTCACACTGGCCAGTCTCACTGTCCACAGGTCCACCGCGTCATCCATCCCCCCAGCCGTGACGTCATCTCGTCCTGCCAGCATCACCTGGTTCACGATCACTCGCACCTGGGAGTGGAGAGATTTGGGGGGAGGGAGGGGGGAGGATGGTGTTTTAGTTTTTTTTGTAGAGGTTTCAGGGCGCTTGCAACTGCATAAGGTCATATGAGCGCCAAGGGGTGGATGTCAACAGAGAAGTCTTTACGGGGAATCAGACTTACTCTGCTCACCTCTCTAGCTTCAACAGCACAAAGTCTGCTTCGACTATCAAGGCACCCCGGAAATAGCAGGTCACAAGAGAGCGACAAACATACAAAAGAAGTAGAGGAAAATGACGATAGTAAGGATTGGGAAGTAAAAAGCAGCAGTTCCCTGTTGGGCATTTCAGGCACAGTTATGAGCTTGACATTGATAAATCAGCCCATTTACAATTCTACTGTGCATAAGAACATGTTAATATACCCCCTTTGGGAATGGGCTAAAGACACTTCAGTCAGTAGCACTGTCCTGGGAGTGGGGAACGACGTGGCGTCGATGGCCAAGTGGTTAGGCTCCATCGGGACTCGCAACCGTTAGGTCTTGAGTTCGAATCATATCAGGGACCAGACGTTGTGTCATTGGGATAGGTACTTTACACGAATTTTCCTCACTTCACCCAGGTGGAAATGAGTACCCGACCATAGACAGTGAAAGATCTTCTCGATTTGGTAGTGTTTCAACTCGTGAAATCCGCAGCTAGCGCTGTAAGCTTAAAATGTTTCTGAGCGTTAGAGAGTTTGCTTGAGTTATAATAATTTGTAAAGCGAATAGAACATGTTATAGAGACTTGATATGCTCTACATAGATGCAATTATGATTATTATTACCATTACAACTATTACTACTACTACTATTACTACTACTACTATTACTACTACTATTACTACTACTCTACTACTACTACTACTACTACTACTACTACTACTACTACTACTACTACTACTACTACTACTACTACTACTACTACTACTACTATTACTACTACTATTACTACTACTCTACTACTACTACAATTACTACTACTACAACTACTGCTACTACTACTACTACTACTACTACTACTACTACTACTACTACTACTACTACTACTACTACTACTACTACTACTACTGCTACTACTACTACTAGTCTTATTTATTTATTTATTATTATTTT